ATAAAATTTCTTGCAATCTTTGCTTTATATTAGGAGTATTAAAATAATTAAACAATTCATATGTTGAATTATTAATAGTTAATAAATCTAATTTTTCATCAAACGACACAAAATTACCTTTTTCAAAATAATAAATAAAAGAAGAAGGTAAAATATGAGTAAAAATTGTACAACTATTATCTAAAATTGAAGAAAATAAATTGTAACAAAGCTGAAAAAAAACTTTCACTGAAATATATGAAAGTTCATCAATATTTGTATATGACTCAATAAAAGAATAATAATTCAAATTTTTATAATAAAGTGCAAGAACTTAAAAAAAAAAAATAGTATTATTAATCCACCCAATTCCAAATCCTCCTTGTGAAACTGGATGCATCAGACTCACATTTGTAGTTGAAATTTCTGTTAACCCTGTGTTATAAATATTAAATTAAAAAAATCAATATTTAAACTTGATAAATAACCAAATAAAAAAAAAAAAACTAATTATGATTGACTAATTAAGTTAAATATTTAATTCCAATTATATATTCAATTAACTGAAAGTAAAAACAAGAGAATTTAAATAACACTAAGACATCTTCTTTTCATCACCACCTTCGAAAGATTTAAATACTATATTTGAATGCTCTCTTTTCATTGCTTGTGCATTTATATAGCAAAATCTAATATTACATTATAATTACTACTTTTAGCGAATTTTGATAAAGCACCTATATCTTTTTATAGAATCATATTGCTTATCAGAATTACCACCTTTAGTCTGTCTTTTTTCATAGTGAAATAGATTATCTGAATTATCGCCCTCAGCAGACTAATCTAATAAATTTTTAACATCTAATTAACTTAAGTAAAAGTATGATATTAGCCAGATTTGTCTGTTGAGTCTCAGTATTGCTGATAGGTATGTTCAGTATAAGATGATAGCATGTTCTAGCTCCAGTTTTGCCAGCATGACCTGATCTCTGGTTCGTGTTTGCTTGATTTATTGGCGTGACTTTAAATACTACACGAATATTCCTATTTATCCTTAATAGTGCCTATGCCTTTCTTTACTAGCTGATCCAAGTTAACATCTTTACTAGCTTTTAAATATCATTCAAATGTCTTCTTCTATCTTTAGTAATGCTTATAACTTCCTCATAGATGATCCATGATTATATTGTCTAACAGAATTATATCTCAGAAGACTTTAAATACTGCTCAAATACTTCCTTTTCATTCTTAATATTGCCTATCTTTTCATATGCGAATCAAAAATTATATTATATACAAGAAGCTTAAATTCCCTAGTTTCTACTTTTAATTACTCATTCACTTGATCCAATAACACTTATTAACAAAAAAACTATAATGAGTGTTATTTAATACATAAGTTAATAAATAAAAATTAATTTACTGAATGAGTTTTTTATTCCAACATTTAATCGTTCATGTCTTGCTCTCATTCTCTAATGATTTTGACGCAGAACACCAGAACAAGCAGATTCATTTAAAGAAAGATATAATATAAGACTGCTGAATTTATTATTTAGAATGGATTTGGATGATCCCACAACCTTTCTCTCCATTCTTTGATTAGTATATGCCTCATGACTATGACGTTGATTAATTAAAATGGCTAATTCAAGCTTCTCATCGATAATGCCAATATCAATATCTATTTCTACATTAAGATTCTGAGATTGCTGGGTAGAATCAAGTATCAAGTCTAATTGCAAACACCCATCAGAGAAATCTTCTTCTTTTTCGAGCTAGAGATAATAAAAATATGATTAGAAAAAAATCTTACCAGTAATAAAATATTATTTCAAATAAAATGGCACAATACTTAAAGTACGTATTATTCTTACTTCAGTTAATGTACTAAACTTGTCCCAAGCATTAACTTCCAAGGCTGCCGTTGATATAAAAATACTTTCAGTTATTTGTAAATTCTCATCTCTTTGAAGTTCAGCAGATTGTTTTTCGATTTCATTTTCCATTTTGACCTTATCATTATTTGGGAAAGCTACAAAATCATGAATTTGAGTATTTAACACCATTCCAAGAACATCTCTAGCTAACACGGTGGCTTGTTTATAAGCATGATGAATAATTTCTTTAATATCATCATCTAAAGGCCAACTCCGCAAGACATCCAGATTTTCTACAACACTTGAATCCGAATAATGTGAAATATAACCTAAAAAACATTAATTTTTTTTTTTTTTAAAAAAAAGAAAAAAATACTAACTATATTTTTATATAATAAGAATACTAACCAATGCCTGTTGTTTTTTCTCTTTCTGATTTAAGAGAGCCTGAGAAATATGCTTTATACAAGCATGTGATCTTAGGTATTAATGCTAATAGATCATTAAATGAGAAGTCAGGAAGAAACTGACAGGCCAAGCCAAA